AGTGGCAGCGAGGCCCTGCGTCAGTCACACTGCGGGCCCAGCCCTTCGGGCTCTCTGTAACCAGCTCTCACACCATGCTGGCTCTCCCAGCTAGATTCCTCCCCTTCGCCCTGCCCCTCTGCTTCTGCTTGAGTTTTTGCCCTTCCTCGYGCTCCTCCACTCCCCTTTTCCTCCCGCTGCGCTCCAGGACTGCTTGGCTCCCTGCCCTCCGAGCCTCAGGGGAGCTCGAGAATGGAAGGAGCCGAGTCAGTCCCAAAGCAGCCAGTTGGTCCCAAAGCAGCACAGCCCCTGCTGCACTAACCAGCTCTCTTACACCTCCACCCCCAGGGCAGGCTCCTCCTAGCCCTTTTTCAGCTYGGGGTGGCATTTTGCTCCTTGTCCTCAGACCATCCGAGAATCTGTGCACTCCAAACCCTAATAATAACTCCCAGAAGAACTGAAATCATCACAAAAATTATGCTGTGCCTGCAAGGCGTACCTCTTTGACCTTGCTTTTTCTGACGCAAGCAGTATGTGTGATGGGTATAGCTTACTGCAGTGGCCTGGCTATCGGAAGGTATTTTTTCCCCAGAAATTAAAATCTAGGAAAAAAAAAAACTATTTATCTGCAGAATAAGTGCTAGGAATTTAGTGTATGGCAGCTGGGTGGTACCTAACAGCTCTGCCTGCTGACCAAAGCCACAGGGGCGGCTGGGATCCTCACTGGGTGCTGGGACCCAATGTTAATAATATCTGACTGATTGAGAGATGCGGGTCTTGCTGCCAGACAAGCCCATGCAATGGGCAATTTCGGAATGCTACTGGGAGTTGGGCCTGTTTTCTCTGGAGAAGAGAAGGTTGAGAGGGGATCTGATTAATATGTATAAGTACCTGAAGGGGAAATGTAGGGAGGAAGGGGCCAAGCTCTTTTCAGTGATGGCCAGTGACAGGTCAAGGGGCAATGGATATAATTTGAAACATAAACAGTTCCATCTCCATGTAAGAACTTCTTCCCTGTGAGGGTGCCCGAGCCCTGGCACAGGCTGCCCAGAGAGGTTGTGGAGGCTCCTTCTCTGGAGATCTTCCCAACCCGCCTGGCTGCCGCCCTGTGCCCCRTGCTCTGGCTGTCCCTGCTGGAGCAGAGGGTTTGGACTGGATGATCTCTAGGGGTCCCTTCCAACCTTAATGATTCTGTGATTCTGGGAGGCACAACCCGATCATCCGAGGGGATAAGGGGCTACTACTGCTCTGYACAGCCGGTGAAGGCCAGAGCTGGCTTAGTAGGTGGGATGGGGTCCTCCTGAGCTGGGCTGGTCTCTCCAGGCCCTGGCTGTGCTGGCAGCCACCAGCATGGCTGGCAGATTGAACGAGACAGAAAGTCTTTGCATTGGGCAATCTCTTTGGGTGGAAGGTGAGGGCGAGGGATGGCCGTGCGGCGCGGCAGGAGTCCAACTGGTTTAACCAAAGGTTTGTGGTGTTACAGGATCTTTTCGTTGCTGTTTCTCCTCCCTTTCTTTGGGCTGTGAGAGTCACTGCAGATTGCCAACAGCCCAGTGTTTGGACTCAACACAAAATAATGTTTATTTCTCCCCCCTCAAATCCCAGCCTCAGCACTGCATTGCACAGAGTGCGTTGGGGAGAAGGGGAGAAAGCAACACGTGCCTGTCTGGAGTCATGTCACTCAGCAACACCTTGCAGGGAGGGCTGTAGGGCTGTGAGGATTGGGAATTGTCCCCTTCAAGGGACAGATTCTGAAAACATTCAAGGGACAGATTCTGAAAATGCATTTCCTGTGCATTTGCTTTTGTTTCTGGAGAAGCATTGACAAACACAGAGCCATTTGCTCATGAACAGCCTGTGCCCTGCAACAAGTACTGTGTTACCAGCAAGGGATCCTCCTAAGGATCCCTTTAAGGGTCAGGACCCTGTCCCTAGGAAGCCGCAATTAAAACAGACTAGTGTGTAAAAACAGAAAGAGCAGTTTAAAGACTGTGTGATACACAGCACTGAATGTTTCTCAAAACATCAGAGCTGTCCCCATGCAGACTGTAACAGATGACAGTTTACTAAATATATCTGTGATGCCAAAACAAATATCACTAAATCCCCAAAAAAGGGGTCACTGCAGTTTATCTTCCATGTGCCTTTTTTTTTCTGTTTGTGGCCTTCAAGAAATTGTATCTATGTGGACTGAAGAATGAAGCAAAGAAGTAGCATGTATGTTAATGTCTACCAGAACCCCAGACTTGCATTTTGGCAAACACCATCATTTGTGCCTTTGAGTCAGCACAATATCTAATTACAGTCCCTACTTACGTGACAAAAAAAGAAAGTTGTCACAATAGTCCAGAAAACCTTACACTGAAGACAAAGACAAATTTACCCAAGTAAGGACTGAATGAGACTTTAAGCCTGATATTATTAATTGGAAAATAATAAAGGCAATGAAAAGACAATTTCTTGCCCAGAAGCACATTTTAAATACGGTCTGCTTTTCAAGCTCATGCATAAATCCTTATAATTCTGCATCTTTAATTGAAATATGTACTTAGCCCAGCTGTTTTTCAGCTGACACCTCTGTGGAGTTATGCTATTAGTAATTGTAATACTTTAGGGTTATTTACATTATGATCCTGCTAAGGGATTTGAGCCCTAAGATTATAGAAATCTGGAGCCAAAAGATATTCCCAGCCAAAGAACTGAAATATAGTAAGTGTTATAGTATTAAAAAAAAAAAAAAAGAAAAAAAACCCCACCACTTTCTAATCTATAGGCATATTTGAGCGAAGCAGCCTAAGGGAGACAGGAACTTAAATCCTATTGAAATATTTAGAAACCAGGAATCTAATTCCCTCAGTCTCTTGCAAAGCTCCCTCAGTCTCTTGCAAATCTCAGCCATGAGAGAAGAAATAATCATTATAGTGCCTTTCCCCTATAGCCCCCTGCACTGTTCTCATCCCAGCCTCTTGTCTCCTGTCCTTCCCAAGGAAAACAGCACACGGAGTAGTGCATTATCCAGGCAGGCTCATGTTTGCCTGAGCTTTAATCCCCTTGCAGATGAAATTCCAAACTTGAATGCATGACAAATTAATGTTCCTAATCTTATTTTGCAGAAGAAAATTAACATACCTCAACTAGCACCTGCCAAGGTACAAACTTTTGGCCTCTGGTTTAGAAACCTTGTATAAATATATACTTTACTGGACAGTTAAGGTCCTGGGATTATTTTGTGGGTTTTGATTTTGTTTTGCTTTCTTCCTTTACAGTCTTGAAGACGCAACACTAGTCGGAATTCCTTCCTTTTTGTTTTTTTCCTGTCATTTATGGCTGCATAGTGACACCCGGGCAGTAGACATTTCATAGACCATAAAACCAAAATGGGCTTAATCCTCTTCTCACACTAGATTTACTTTTGTGTGACTGTGCTAGTAAAGTTGGCAGTAAAGATGTTGACAGAACTGCGAGCTGGCTGGGGCCCAAGGGCAAAGATTTTTGAAGGTGGCAATTGGGAACGCCTACTTCCAAAGAAGCCTTAACCCCACTTCCCTCCATTGAGAACTTCCTTGTTCTTGGGGAGTTTTGATCTGCATTGAGTCATTTTTGAAAATAGATGGAAGCCACCATAGGCCACCATTTAGGTCTTGCTGGGGGAGCAGAGACGGATCAMGCAAATTAAACCACTGATGTTTTACAGGTGCTGAGAGCTGGAGTTTGCTATTCACTGAGGCTATAAGAAGTRTGCCTAAGACAGCTTCCTTTGGAGGTATGTGTGTTCTAGAATTATTAATACCTGTAATTAAAGGGGTGGTGGTGGGGGCAGTGGAAAAAAATTCCCCCCCTTCTCTTTCCTGGAGGTTTCAAGAAAAGRAGTAGTTGTAAAGAGATTAGAGCAGCTGCTGTTCAAAGTGGGGAAAAAAACCTGCAGTTCTTGTCTGAGCCCTGAGAAAAAGCTGCAGAAGTGAGAGGAGATGATCAACCTAAAAGCATGTAAGTCTTTGGGTGCCTTTTGCAGTCCTGTTGTACTTGCAAAGCACCTGCAACTTGCAGTTCTCATGTTGGCCCTGCTTTGCRAAGTAGCTGCTTAGGCATTTTCTCTATTATTTCCTCAGATATCCTGCAGCTCTCTGAACCCAGATGTGGTTTTGATCACTGTACTATGTTTTSCCAGTTCCTGCTATGATCAGCTGTATACAGTGACTCCTGGCAGATTTCCCTCCTCCAGCTTCCCTGCTAACCTGCCTTTGGATGCAGCAGGTTGTGGTGCATGAGGATGGAGCTGATGATCCTGATCTACAAGCTCACTGCAATTCCCTTCAAGCTGGCAGTGCAAGTGCTGTAGCAGTGACTGTCTAAGGATAGAAGAGGTAACACATCTGACTAATAAAAGTAGAAAAAAAGTGTATAAAAACTTGAGCTTAAGGTAACAGCCCAAATCTTCTCTGAATTTATTAAAACTGTGTCAAGGTCTTTGTTGCAGAGGATGGACAGTCTAATAGAGTATGAGCTCCTAAAAACCCTGTCTGCTAAGTCCACTAAGCCCCTCAGGCATGCAAGGCTTTGAGGGATCCACTAAGACATTTAAGTACCTGATTTGAGGTACATCAATTAAAAACTGTCATTCAAGAGAATCTATTCAGCCTGTATTTAGTGCAGGGGATTCTCAGCTGTGGCATTTTAATTTCCGAGGTAGAATCTGAAGTTATGTCTCTTTGCATGCCAGAACCACCTTGCCTGTAGTGAAGGAATTAGCGTACTTGGAGAAATGGGAAAAGGTTGAATGGAAACTGTTTTGGCAGAAGGTGTTTCACTTSGTAAACAAGTGTTTGCTTTGGCTTATCGACGAAAAGCTGAGAGTTGTGCACAGTGCCTGCATTTTAAAGGCAGCAAAATGAGCCCTGTGTGGRTACCTGTCCTCAGCAGCCTCACCTGGGCTGCTGCAAGTGAAGCTGTGTCAGTCAGGAGCTCCCGCTGTGAAGAAGTTGGGAGTTCACAGGTGGCTGTTTTCAGCATTTTTTTGGTTACCTTAAGACAGTTTCTCCTTGAAACACGTCTTTTACAGACAGATACATACGGGATAAACACATGGTGCAATCGTTTGCATGCTGCCTAACCTGCACTAACTTGCAGTGCTGCAATCTGCAGTTAGTCATGCCTTTCGCCAGCAACACAGGCAAAATCAGCAGACAAGTAGAACTGAGGAGGAGACTCAGGTTTATTTTTAAAAAGTGTAGACTTGCTAATTATGAAGGTATTCCAGAAGATTACACATGGATGTGCTAAGGTTTTGGCATTATTATCCTGTTTTTCTCTCTTGGCATTCTACTTCTATCTCTAAGTTAGCTCATGATCTAACAAAGCATTTAAGTGTGTGTAACTTTAAATAAGTATTTCCACAGACCTCAGCAGGAATAGTGAGGTGTTAATGGCAATGTCCATGCCTATGTGGTTTGCTTGATTGCTGGTTTATGCACTGAGGGCAGTATCATACATAAAGTTTAGATTAAATGATCCCTTTTTCTCCTCCTGTTTAAACCTGATTACATTCAGGTTTCCTTTTACACTTTGCAGAAGGGAATAATGTATGCAAATACTGCCTGTGCCTACATAGACTTAACCTCTTTTTCCTCCTTTTTGATCTCTATAATTGTGACAATTTGTCTACGAGTGCCGAGTAGCAGAAACTCTTCCCCAGGGACTGGCCTAAGGGCGCCTTTTTCAGTGGTCCTGCGGACTGGGGCAGATCCTTGTTCTTCTGTTTCTGGCTGTATCCTCTCACTCGGGTGCTCTTCCTCTGGTTCCACTTCTGTGGAGATGAGGTGAGTTGTAGCTGGCACTAAGTCAGGTGGGGAGGCTGCCGCTTTTTTAAGCAGTCTCCTGATCTGGTTCACTACCCAACTGCACAAAGAGCTCAAGCAGCACAACTGAGGGAGCATCAAGAGCTCCATCAGGCTGTGGCCACCAGAAGCGATGCCTGTGAAGCCGCTGCTRTATTTCCTCCCGGCTGCTGGGCCAGCAAGGCGGGCGAGAGGAGTCCAAAGGTGAGTTACTGCCCTCATCCCTCCCTTGCCTTTCACACTCCCCTGCTCTCGCAGGGGTGGGGTGAGAGGAGCACAGCCAAGCGYGGAGGCTGAAGCTTCTGGCACAATGCGAGCCCCTTGTTCTCTCGCTGAATCCTGTTCCTCAGCTCCACTCTGTGCTGCTCATTCCGATCCCTGTGTCCRAGCCTGCTGCCCCCACACTTGTGCTGCCAAACCTGTTTGCGCATCTGTACTGCCAACAAATCCTCGGTAGGATCCAATGTTTTGTTTGGAAGCAAGCTATTCTCCTGGGCTGTTTTTCTTTTGACTCCCTGCTCCAGTACACGTTGTGTCAGTGCAATGGATTGTGTGCAGGGGTGGGAGGAGGATCACCAGGTCAAAGGTTTGTCCGGGCAGACGACAAAATAAACAAGACGTGGAGTACCCAAACCAATGTACAGTTTACACAGTCATCACTATCCCTCAGACACTCTACCCAGCAGATGTGAGAAATTCAGTCTCTTCAACACTGGGTTAAAGTCCTACAAATTCTGCTTTATGGAAGCAATGTCCTCCCATGAGACTCATGCTGTCCACCTGTGTGGCTCAGGGCTTGCTTGCCTCACTGGCACCARTGTCACTGTCCAGGTGTTTTGTGTGCACTTGGGGCCCCACCTGCTCCCAGCTGTGGGGCTGCAAATAAAGAGAGGGGGAAGTTTATTCTGAGAGTGTCGTGTTGGCTGCCTGAGTAACCAACAGCCAGAAGATTTGGATATAAAGTAGATATACATGACTTAATTCTGCCTTTGTGCCCCTCATTGTTTCTTGATTGTATTAATATTTAATTGCTTGCATTATATCTGCCCAATAACACTTCTTAGCGTTGCTAACACTTAGTATTGTGTCTTCAAAGTTCTTTACAAGCTAATTATGGTAAATGCATAATCAAGTGAAAACAAGCACCTGGGGGTGGGACCTCTGTGTTTCACAAAGCACGACAGGTGCCCGCAGTTCTACACAGGCTGGAATGATGCACTCCAAGTCAGAGTGAGGTCAGTGGGAAGCACRTAGCAGGACAGGCTGGTGCTCTGCATGCACAGATCATCAAGACTTCATGAGGTTTTCTTCCCACAGCCTTTGCTGGGCTCTGGAGCAGTCTTAAAGTAAGCAAGGCGTTTGGGGAACAATTCCTGAAGCAATGTAGTTTAACACAGCTACTGCATCGACTTCTCTCCCTTGACTAAATGCAAAGCTGATATCTGACAGTCAAAGGGAGTAAATGGGTTTCTCTTCTTTCTTGTTTCTCTTTGACAGTCCGCCTCTTGGGAGCTGTAGCATCCAAGCCAGGAACCAACAGCTGGCAGTCTGAATGCAGCCCTCTGCCTACGTCTATGTCTGTGGGCTGTGAAAGACAACACTTCGMCTTTACAGACACTAACTAACCCTCAATAAAACACACAAACAAAACCCAGTAACTTCATAAAAAAGAGCATTTTTATAAACCTGTCCCCCAGAGAGATTTGTTGCAGGGACAGTGTGAATCAGAGCAAGCACTGGCTGTGGCAGAGCAGCACAGATGTAACCAACTCCGAATGGCGCTTCCACAAGGCATTGCATTCTCCCCTTTCTGCTAAAATAACCCTGTAAAAGGTGCTGGGTTCACTCTTGCATGGAAAAAAAATCATTAAAGAAAACCAGGGGGGGCAAATCTGGCAGAGCTTGCTTCGACGCATCTGCAGATACAAAGACAGCCTTGACTAAGCAGGCAGGAAGGAGCGGGCYGCGTTCGGCTTTGTCGCCTTCCAGTACAGGACCTTGCTTGTTTCTATTCATTTAAGTTGGTTGATGTTTTATCAGTACAATGTCAGGGAAAAAAAATAAGGTATTGGCACAGGCAGGAAGTGGCTTGAAAAGTTACTTATTTAGATAGCCAGCTGACCTCTGCATGTGTAAAAATGGTCTCAGGTTTATATTCTGTTTCTGCTTTGTGAAGTGTGTAATTGGAAGCTATCCAGGAATAAGAGGGTGAATGCAAGTAGGGAATTCCCTCCTCTATGAAAAAATGCCTGGAGTCCTGTTAAAAAAAGCCCATTTGCTCTGCATTCACATAATTAATTCTCATKTTACAGAATCACAGAATGGTTGAGGCTGGATCTCTAGAGATCATCCAGTCCAACCCCCTGCTCCAGCAGGGAGACCCAGTGCACAGGGTGGCATCCAGGCGGGTTGATCTTTGCCAAATGTGTGGGGGACACGCGTGAGGCTGCAGGAGGGGCCACGCGTCCCCTCTAGCAGGGCTGTGCTGAGGGTACCTGAGCTTCACCTGGCAGTCCCCACTGAACCCCCCAGGGAGGGCAAAGCTCTGGCGCGCAGAGCGAGCGGTGGCCGCGGGGCCGGACCCTGTCCCCCCGCTCTTGCTGCAGGCGGGAAGCGCCGCGGGGAAGTCTGCGGTGTCCGGCGAGGAACTGCTCTTGTTGGCGGGATCCTCCGGCCGCCAAAGCGGGAAAGCAGCCGCGGCCGGAGCGAGCGGCGGGGGGGCGGCCGGGGCCGCGGGGCGGAGCGGAGCGGGGGCCGCGCCGCCCTCCCGGCCGGGGCGGGGAGCGGCCGCTCCCTCCCGCCCCGCTTCCCGCCCCGCTTCCCGCCCCGCTCCGTCCCGCCGCGCCGCTTCCCCGCCCGCTCCCGCCGCCGATGACTCGGGCCGCCGCGCGGTGAGTCTGCCCCGCGGGGCGCGGAGCGGAGCGGGCCACGCGGCCTCCGCTGCCGCCCGCGCCAACTTGCGGCGCCGCCGGCCGCCTCTTTGTGGCGGCGCCGCGGGGCCGCGCGGGCGGGAGGCGCCTCCGGCCGCCGCCGCTGCCCCCGCCGCGGTACCTGCCGCTCTTTGTTGCCGCCGCCGCCTTTGTTCCCCCGGCGCCGCCTTCCCCTCCGCCGCCCCCCGCCGCGGGGCACCCCCGCGGAGCGATCCCGCCGATCCCGCCCTCCCCAGCGGTCCCCCCTTCCCCGGCCCTTGGCCAGCGAGAGGCGCGAACAAAAGTGCCAAGTGGGCGCGCGGGCAGCGCGGGGCTCCCGCCGCGCGGGTCGGGCGCTCCCGCCTCCGCGCTCCGCTCCCGCCGCCCGGGCCACGCGCAGCCCCGCGGGAGCCGCCGCTCCAGGCTGCCCTGCGCGGGGAGAAGCGCGTGGGACCGAGCGGGGGTCCCGGGGACGGCGCGCGGGAGCGGCCGCTCCGCACCGCGTGGGACCGAGCGAGTGTCCGGCGAACGGCGGGCAGGAGCGGCCACTCTGCACCGCGTGGGTCGGAGCGGGGGTCCCATGAGCGGCCGCTGTGCAGCGCGTGAGATGGAGCGGGTGTCCCGGGAAGCCTACGTGGTGAGCGGCCACTCTGTGGCATGTAGGACGGAGCGGGGATCCCGGGAACAGTGCGCGGGAGTGGGTGCTCCACACGGCATGGGACGGAGCRGGTGTCCCAGGAATGGCCGCTCTGCAGTGCGTGGAACGGAGCGAGTGTCCGGTGCACGGCGCGGGAGCGGCCGCTCCGCACCGCGTGGRACGGAGTGGGTGTCCCGTGAGCGGCCGCTCTGCACCGCATCAGCCTGGCTGACGGAGCCTGTTCCTTAAAACCCTTATCTCTCCGGTTACGTAGTTGGGAACGGATCCCRACTACTTACTCAGGCAAAGTTCCCAGCAAAGCAGAAAGCAGTGTAACCAGCTCCTGACCGGTCCACAAGAGTGGCCGGCATTTCTTCAGTTACTTTATTATCAGTGTGTGCGAGGTCACCCCGCTGCCCCAGATAAAACATTGCCTGCCGAAGCCTTTAACTTTATGTTCCTTCCAGGGTACGTGGGCTCCTTTCCCTTCTCCTCTCCCCTGTGCCGGCCTCCCCTCCTCCCCGTGTCTCAAGGACTCCCCGCAGCCCTCCTGCTTTCTCATGTAACAGTTTTTAGCAATCTGTGGTACCGCAGCCCAGGGGATGCCGCATGCGGTGACCTTGGTGCTGACTCAGGTGCACAGGTTTAGGAACAGCCCTGGGTCATCCTTTTGGCTCTGTCACTAATGCAGACCCCCTACCCACCAAGATTCATCTCCCTTCTCTTTGCCCGAGGGCTTTCGCAGGGTTTTGGGGCAGAGCAGGTGCACACATCCCAAAGTGTGGGGAGAAAGTGGGGAGAAGTGTGTGGAGAAAAAAAACTTTTGACATAGAGGATTTCTCTAAGTCCTTCTCAGGGCAGATTCTACATGGTCCTCACATCTCTTCTGCCTCACTCTTGAGGTTGCCCAAAGACCCTGCTATCCTGTGCCCCTCTTCTTTCCGTCACTTATCCTTTTTCTTTTTCCCCAGTCTCAGCTTTCAGGAGTGTCTTTTGCTGCCTGATGGGCAGACACAGAGAGCGCTGCCGTGTGCAGGAGCTGGCCGTGCTTGGCTACGTTGCGCAGCTGGTGGCCAAGCCGGCATGGCCACAGCTTGGCAGTCACGTCTCGTGCTGCTGCCTGACATGGGATGTCTGGAAGAGGTGCGGCGCCTGGCACCTGCAGAGCTGTGGCCCAGCCTCCTGGCTCCGAGCAAGAGGTGATAACAGGGCGCATTGGGCTGCGCACCATCCTGCTGCACGCGCGCAGCCACCTCCTGCTAAAATCAGGGCAGCCTGAATTATTCATTTCCAAGGCCGAGCAGTGCGTGCGTTCACTGCGGGGACAGGCAGTGGCGTTGTGGGGTGTCCCTGATGCAAGGGACTGAGCCTGGAGCTCCTGCGGGSAAGGAAGGTGGGGAAGAGCACTCAAGAGCTCCTGAAATTCCAAGGGGCGGATGGGCAGCGCAGAGGACAGCTGCAGGGCTGTCCTGCTGGAAAAGCTGGTGGCGACCGCAGCACTTACTGTAGTGCTGTGCCACGAGGWGTGTGTTCAAAGCTGAGGATGGACCTGCAGGGCTTGGATCCTGCAAAATCTSTTTCTTTCTACCCAACAGGTTCCTTATCCCACTCGCTAGCTTTTCTTTACAAGTGTAGAACTGATGTTTCTTCTTCTCTTCTTTGTAATGAATAGTGATGAATGATAACAGCCTTTTTGTCCTAGTTAGCTATAAAAACACATCAAAGTCTCCTTATTTAAACAGCTACTTACAACTAACCCTCAGGAAACAGTGTCCGTCAAGTGTCATGGTTATCTTACCTTATTAAGACCTGAATGGGATCTTTTAAGCAGGACAAAGGAATTGTTTTCTCCAGTTCAATCTTCCCAGAAGTTGCTTATGGCAAGTGAGAAGTTTCAGTTGGCTTCCTTAGCGCCAGGCCAGGCCTGCAGCGCTGGCTACTTGCTGTTTATGTGTCAGGCCCAGTGTTTAAGCTGAGATACAATGAAGTAATTCAAGAAGTGGCATGCGTTACTGCCTGGTGACCTAATGGGCTGGAAATGCTTTATCTGCGCCACTGTTAATTTTAAGTTTTGTGTTATAAGCAAAAGTAACAAGAATAATTGCTCGTTCCTTGCTTGGCAGTTTTTGCCCATGGACTTTATGTTCTTTCTGCTAGCAGGTTCAGGGGGAAGTTGTCTCTCGTGTTGACAAGTCTTTGCTTTAGAGGAAAACGGGCCGCAATTTAACCTTTTTCCTGCATTTGTTATAAGCATCGTAAACCTTTTTGCCAGTGRCCAGCTCCATAGACTGGTTAACTTGGTTCTGCATCTGTGCCATGTGAATCCAGAAATGAATGAAATAAAAAATCCCAAAGAAGGCAGAAGCAGCACAGCTTGAAAGAGCAGGTATAAAGAGCCCCATTCATTTGAGTTTATCTGTAGCAGAGGGATATGCCCTTCTCTGTGAATCATCCCCTGACATCTGTTTGCAGCGATGTTTTCTTAGCAACTGCGGCTCTGTTTTAGATCTGGACTCTCAATGGCTGGTTTTGTTTAGAGAGAAATGAAGAGAGGATCCAAACTCCTACAAGGGAAGCTGAGCACTTGCGCTGGCCAACCCCATTTCTTGGCTTCCCTCGGGCATAGTGAGCACTGGTTTTAAAAGTCTTCAAGCTGAGATGCTTTCTTATATATGCGCAAAGAGATGCCTATCTGCTTCTTACCACAACTAAGGTGTTTACCCAGTGTTATCTGTCATGTTGGGGAGAACCTCTTGGGTTGTAATTGACTCTGTGATTCCTCATGTTGATGCAAGAYGAGCAGTGTTTACTGTGACACTTTCCTTAGCTTTCCTGAGGTTTTATTTTAAAGTGTTGCAGGCTTCTAGAAGTTGGAGAGAACATCCCTGCTGCTTGCAGGCTTGGAGAGACGCTGGAAATGCAGACAGGGATTGAGACGGCCCACTCCTAGCAACGTACTTGTTCGGACAAGTTGCTGGATTAGTCGGTGGGATTATACGTGTGAAGCGTGGAGCAGTGTATGAGTAATAACTTGGGACTGGCTCCATAAGCTGTGATTAAAGGCAAGGTGACATTTCATACATCCCTTTCCTTTGCCC